ACAGTGGAATTCACTTTGTCTATAATCTCACCAAAAATGTGAAACAGTGGCGAAAGCGTTGAAACGTGGAATACCATGCGAACAACGGTCAACGTTGAGATTGAGCGTAGCGATCCATTCACACAAATAATACTTTAAAATGATCGTCCAATCAGTCATGAACCGTGGCAACAAGTGTTACCCGCCATGACTCGAAAGCTTAGGGGCAGAGGTTTCGACTAACCTTCCAAAGACCCCGGGTTCGGGTGTCTCCTACCAATACCTGATAATTTCGAAGAAGTTTAAAACGAATCGTGAAGTGCAGTGTTTTCAGGCGGGAAATACCGAATAACCATTGACTTTGGGTGCCGTTTGTGCGTCCGAATGATGGACAGATTTCTTAAAAACCGATTCGTTTATCCTAAGAACTTAGGTCAGTGCTATTAGACATTCAGTTTCAGCATCAGTAATAACGCGAAATCCTAGAATGTAGCTAAAGCACAGACGGTTGGTGAGGACGACAATGGTGAGATAAACCAGGCCGAAGTAAGTAAGAGCGCTTTGGCGCTATTTCAACTCACCTTAAGCTAGGGTTCCAACGGGATTCGCCATTACCGAAAAAGGAACAGAGAAAGTTGGACAGGCGATCCACTCCCACATATGCCGATCAGACGAAAATCTCTGGCTACTTAGCCGTATTGCTATTGCCTTGAAAATGCTGGCTGGTGTAATGGCTATGCAGCAACGCAATTACCATTGGGCTAGTGGAAAGAGTGAGTGGCATAACTCATTCCGTCCCAGTGAGCGCATGCAATTCTCCAGTTTGCAGAATAATAGCATACTGTGGTAGTGATCCGTCAGTTGGAGGTTGTCAATAATTCAGTAGATCGCACCGATGCTAATTGTGATTAAAGAATGTGCCAAGAGAATGCCTTCTATTCCGGAATATCACTGAGACGAATCCAAAGGCCAAGTGGGAGATTTTGGGGAGATGTACGCGGTTCTTTAACATGTTCAGCACCGGTACAGTTCACTAACACAAATGCTTTAAACACATCACATTTCGGCCAGTAATTATAAGAGCCATTAAGGCGTATCGAAGCCCAGCTCGTCTACAAATATGATGTGATAGCTTTTCGATTACGAGCGCAGTGTTCAAGTTCGAAGTGAAACTGGTGCTACCGCGTGCCGATGACATTGAGAGAATAGCAGTCTCTCAATACCAATGTGCATGCGGCATTGCCCTCGCTTGTTTGGACCACATAATGAGCAATTCTAACACCCCAACATTCGGGGTTCGAACCGCTGCCCTGCAAATTAACACGGAACCAGTCGTGTAGTACCGTTGAGTGAGGGTCACGCTTAACCAATTGGTGTCGCACCATTGTATGTTCAACTCAGATTACTTTTGTCTGGTTGAGTCATGTAACTTGCAGACCGAATGCATCAGCGGGCTAGCTAGGTGAAATCTCAGGAGTGTGAATCCACGATGAGGAAATAGTGTCAAAAAAGTTGGTCGAACTTGCGCACGCTATCTCCCTGGATGGTAAGGGGGCGGGGGTGAAAAGCATCCAGGTAAACGATACGAAACGCATTTAGACGCCAAGAGTTGCATAGTCATGGCAACCTTGCACACAACAACTTCCACATCTTAGGGTCTATACATGACAATTATTTGCCTTTCCGTATCCATCATCCATGATTAACACATAACGTTATTATTATTATTATTATTATTATTATCGTGGCAACATGAGTAAGGTACAAAAAATTCATTGCATTTAGTCACCTAAAGTATGATTCGCTAACAAAATAAAAGAGTGAAACTCAATAGACGGTGGGAACTAAGCAAAAAATCATTAGTAAATACAACTTTGTATGGCCAATGTTGACAGAACGAATAGAGATGACGGCGTAAGAAAGTGTAAACATACCAACCAATGCACGTAGTTTATGACAATGAATGGTTGCCTGGGTGAGAAAAGACCTTCGAATGGTTGTTGATATTCACTGAAGCAGGCGATCGAGGGTCAATATCGTAAACAGTCGATGAAACCCAAGGGTGAAATTCTAAAGTTAAGTACGCGATGCGATGGTAATGACGCAACCAGAACTTGACGGTGTAACGGGAATACTCCAAACGCACAAAGACAAACGATCAAGGTTGGGCGCAGATTTCGAACGTGTGAAAGGACAGCACAGCGAGAAGTTAATTCTGTTAAATAACAATGAACCCTGCGCCATTGTTTAGCTCAGTTAAGCAACAACGATGAGCATCGGAGTGCAGTGGATCCAGTAGTCACCACTAACGTCTCTGTGTAACAAAAACCAACAATAATGGGGCAGATAAGGGTGGAACAAAAGAGGGGAATTTAAGACAATAAATCGAGGGGGAATATTAGCAGATTGATGGAAGAAATCGAGTAAAGGAGTGCCACTGCGCTACATTCGACAATAACTGATGTGGGTCATCCTGAGGTCTCCATTCACGAAGATATGCACCGCTTTGACATATTCACTCACTCCATTCCATCGTGTCTTTATGTGACGCCATCAAATGACTAGTATGTGGCTTTGCCCAACCAAATATAGCAACGACGATGTGAGATGCGCGTCAACGAGAGCGGTCAACAGGGATACAGCGAGGGAATTGACTCCGTTAACCTGAGTGGTTCAAGACTAACAGTACCAGATGGCATTCTTATCAAGCAGCAACGGACAGACTTGAAGAATGCTCATTCGGCACGCCCACCAGATGGGAGCATTGTGGCGCAAGCGCCGGCGATTAAAGTCGGCCAAACTCTTAATATCTACAGTACAAAGTGGTGATTTTTCTGGTATCACTCAGCGATAGCTACCCCAACCCATCCCAACTACTAATGATAGGCTCGTATCTCGCCGTCTTCATATGCACATGTGATATTTGAAATAGTCTTTATGCGATGTGATCATTGGAGGTAACACATCTACTAGTCGTCATGTTTCGCGTTGATATGGTGGTAAAGATGAGGGGGGGGGGAGAAAACATTCAAAGTGGGTGAAGTGGCATAATCGCCAGTTGTGGAATTTGAGAATCACAAGCAAGGTGGTGAATACAAGACTGTGTTACGGAGAGCCAGCATACATGCCGAGAAGCGTGGTGCAACATTGGATCGATCTACAAGTTAAGATCGAACTCGAGTAGAGATCAAAACGCGAATCTATGCGGGATCAGCGGCAAGTTGGACCATAAACCTGAACCGTTTGAGTTGTGTTAATTAATTAGTATTAGTATCTCCAATATTGTTGTCTTCGTAGTTGCGTACAGCCTATTCATTGCGCTATGCTCTCATGCAATACGAATCCCTCGGTCCGGCTGGTCTTGACGTTCTCATTTCGTGCGGAATTGAACTGGTTGGGGGAGGCCAACTGATTCAGGCAGGTTATCCGTACATTCAGCGGAAACTCACAACACGTTGCGAGTGTCAGGAACGCGCTGTGAATGAATAATGTTCTTACGATTAACATAACGTACGTAATCGAATGGCTATCGGGTGTCCACACCCAATTAGATACAGGGTTGGAAAACAATGCACATTAAAGTACGCGATCAGGAGGGAAGCAGAGCTCCTAAATCGGCCGTGGCCTTTCCGTTGAACATCTTCTTAAGCTAGCTACTGTGAATATATTGACATTACACAAGTACCTTAGCAACACCTTGTTTCAAACTACGTCCAGGGTCACTGAGACAGTATTACTGTATCCATACTTTGAATACAAGGATGAAACTCTGCGCACGATGCGCCATATGTAAATTTAGGGTTACGTGAAAGCAGTTATAAAGAAGTGATTTAGTAAAACTGCCATGTCGACTGGGTGCGAATCCCGAGAATTCTATTCAGCAATGTGAGATCGTTCATCGGGAAGGCGGGGGTCGTTTACTCTAGTGACAATAGCGCACCATTTTCCTTTTCGTTTATCCCTTTGCAAAAATGGTACATGCCGATTATGTCAGTTTAGTCCATGTGAAATGCTGAAAATGTACCCGTCCGGGTACATGAAGCATATCTTGATTTGACATAGACAATCCAGTGTGGGAGATCCCAGTCTAGCGCGGCAGCAAACCGTCCATTGTTAAACGTGAATAGTATCCATTCGGTGGCCTCGCCATTAATATTAATTTGTCCAATTTCTGTGGAAGTAACTACGTTGCCTCAGAGCCGTGTACATCACATCTGGCCAACGGGGGCTTTAAAAGCCATCTGAGTTCTACCCTAACTCAGGCTATCTTCACTCGATGAGTCCAAATGAGGACGAAACAAGTCGCCGGGTGTCAGCGCTGGGAAGGAGCAACACCGAAACCCCGCCATTGCGGGTACAATCCTAGTGATAGGAAAGACCGGGGTCTACGTCAAAGTAAACCGAGGTCTTAATAGGGATTCTGTGTGTAGCAATGCAAAACCATACTGAGAGTACTCTAAATCCAACTTTGAATTCCATACCGCTGTACCAAGTGTTGCACACGAATTTTACTGGCGTCACCCGTTGATCATTCGGTTTTGAGCCCCACCCCTAGCTGAGGCTATCCCCATCTGATGAGCTCAAACGAGGACGAAACTAGTCATCGGGTGTCAGTGTTGGGAGAAGCAAGACCGAAATTTCACCGCTATGTGTGTCCTACTGATGCGAGTAAAGGCTTCGTCAGTTCCTCGACAGCTGCTGAGAAAACATAGCAAGAACAGACATGTTCAATGATGCAGAAATCGTTGGAGCGTAGCTGTTTGCATAGTGAATCAAACCCTCGTTTATCGGTCAAGGTCATTTATGTGGCATGGAGAATAAGGTAGAGTGGAATGAATACTTGGTTACAGGGTGGCGAGATATTAAAAAAACTCAGGTCATACGTGTTGCATGACAAGTTTGAATGCACTGTAAATCAGTCTAGTACATAAACATCTAAACGATCGATGAAACAACGCGCTAGCTCTACATCTGTGGCTTGCATGCGCGACAGCGCCGATCTGGCATCAAGGAAACTGTGTGGAGCAAAGAATCAATGGTATATTTACACTCAAGTCGATGGATATTAGCAGTAATTGGTAGTTCGATCAAACAAGAATTTCTCCGCTGCTGCATCCTCCTCTTCTGCCAGGCGTTCTAGATGGTGCGCTCTTTTGCGGAGTTCAATTTCGTCCAAATGTTGTCGGAGGTAGAGTTTCAGAGCTGAGGGCAGAAAGAAGATGGCAACAATGCTCATTTGAAGGCCTTAACAGCAGGTCAGCAGTTGGTACCATGCGACTGCACACAGCACAATGGTTAGGTTGATGTTAAATACGAATATTTCAGCTTGTTTGGTCCCAAATCAGAATACAGATCCCGTATAACAATGAATTGGAACAAAAGCGTATTCAACAGCAGGTGAAGCAGAGAAAAACTGACTCCTGGAATAAGTTGAGTTTAACAAGTTTATTCTACTGAGAATCCAAACCGTGGGTGTATAAGAATTGAATTGACATGCGCACTAGATCTTGTATGTTCGGTTACAGTGGAAAAGAATTTGTTTTCAAAGCCTTCTAAACTAAAACTAAACTGTTACACTAAAAAGAACATGATCATGAACATCCGTCCTCAGTTTCCAAATGCTATGTGGGCATAGCTACTATGTAGTGGAAGTCGTAATCTCAGAAACCAAACACTGTCCTCTGCAATTGTAGGAACCTGCATGCTATATCCCAGTAAGCTTGAAAGTAAACGGACTGCATCCGTCCTCTTTGGTTCAGTGATATAAGCCGCTGGCTAGTAGGCGTGAATTGCTAGAGGCCGTTGGTTCTTTTCCAAGCAAGCGACCGTGCGAATGCGCACCATTTGCGCGACCCAACAGGATGAAACGATTGTCTGGTGCATCCCAGCTGGGATGAACCAAAGAAATTACATGATCACGAAATATCCAAGCAGAAAACTTAACTGTACCAATAAGCTTGTGCAGAGGCCTGCGTACTCTAAAATATTAGACTTAGCTACTAAAAATACGTGAAGTATTTAGCATACCTGCCTAGACGCAGGGTAGGATGTCACCTAGGATTTAGAAACGAGTTAAGCCCCGACTGCCACCAGTGGTGGAAAATGATCTCATATTTTTGAAAACCACTCTCCCACGGAAAAGCAATTTCAATACTAATTGCACTTATTCTAGTGAATAAAGCAATCCGATGCGCGAGACGGTTAAGAACGTGCACACAAAGAGAAATCTTCCTGTGGTTTGCATTAAACGCAGATGGAAAGATGTTTGCTCAAACTTCGGATATTTCAAAAACGGTGACTGACTGTTGTTGTTGATGATAAAAGCTTGGGTTTGAATAACGGTCTGAGATGGCATGCAGTTAGATATGAGATGAGTCGTACAATCTATGTGACACGCGGGAAGTCAAATAGAAGCGTGGATGCACTCCGAATGCGGCGCCGAGTTCTACCACTAGCAAAGTTAGGAGTTACGTACCAACAAATGCAGTTAAAGTTTAGACTACTTAAAGTAGTATCAACACAAAGCGATTTTAAGTGGCAGCGTCCAAAGCAACTGCCGAAGCATCAGCCGTTCAGAAGCATGGATTTGACAAAGAATAGAAACACGTATAGCGATGAAGAATCAATAAAGAACTGTTTGGCTTTTCCACACGCCATTTTTTCGCTTTTGAAGGAATCAGCACATTGGAGATCGGGAGTCCACGCAGACTTGTGCGCATTGTTTTCATTGCAACCGGTTTTGTGACATTCGTTCGAGTGTTATAATTCATCGACATTCTTCATCTTTCGTTCCCCAACCATGAAGGCGTGCCGGAACGGCGAATGATAGAGAGGATGTTATCGATTCGATGTTTTGTCGCCAGGTGGTCGGCTGACCCCCACATGGCCTATTCCAATGCAGCAGCATGCGCGAATAGAACGCAGCGTGGAAATCGTTCTCCAGACATGCGCAGGATGTGGCCAAACCTTCTCAACTGGCACAATGAACAATGATTTATAACGGGTAAAAAAGCATATGCTTGACAGGTCCCGTAGGGTGGTTGGAGCAATGGATAAAATGGAAGGATAATCGAACAAGTAAATCGTTTTTTTAAGCCTCCACAGATTTCAACGCACCACTTCATAATGATAGTTTGAAGTATGGACTGGATGTATGCACCCAAAGTAGAGCTGTTATATTACAGCAAATGTGGGAAAAAGAAATCAAAGGAACGGATAACGCTCACTCGTGTGTTGCTTCCGTTGAGAGATGTAGTACGTTACTCCAGTTTGTATGCATCCATGTCGCTCATTGGGACACTTCTGTATGTAACATCACCGCCACTTTGCGGGGAGGGTCAGTAACCTCATGGTTTGGGTCTCGTTATTTCGTCCTCCGAATAGGACGTGCTATGCCAAATAATGCAAGTTGGAAAGTGTGTCATCTAGGCGTTTTTTAAATAGTGCCAATGTGGGGGCAAGGACGACGTGAGTGGGGAGCGCATTCCAAGCACGGGACACACGGAGTGAGAAAGAGTTTCGTCGACAATCAAGTCGGCTGTAGTGTGTAGCCAGTTTGAGCTGATGACCTCTCAGGTTGGTATTTTGGCTCAGCTGCAAGAGACTGCGACATGGGTGATTTGGATTCATCAGTATTAAGTAGACCATGATGAGGTCTCCTCGGTGACGACGATATTCACCACTGTACAATCCCAGAGACTGCAGTCTGCGTTGGTAGGGGATGTGAAACAGGCCTCTGACGAGCTTCGTTGCTCTACGCTGTGGAGCTTCAAGTGCACTGATGTCGCGCTTGCGCCAGGGACGCCAGGCCTGGATCGCATACTCCACGTGGGGTCTCACGTAAGCGCAATAGAACAAGGTCATGGACCGGGAGATCCGCCTTGTCAAAGATGCGTTGCCTGATGCCATTATTGCGCACCCGGTGTTGCTATCATACACGGACGATACTCCGCAGACAGCAGTTTTTGGAGGACAAAAGCCTATACATGTCATCCACTCGGATCGGCCGGGATTCGCATGCATACAAAAGTATCGCGCAAACATAGGCATTGCTAACCCTGCCTTTTAGTAATGGCCGCGGTAACCAAGTCACGCTAACATTAAAGTATGATAGTGGATTGAGGTAGATGAGAAGTCAAGTGAAAGAGGTAAACAGCTGTAAATCACCTGGGATATTAGTTCCCTTGGCAGCAGACACCAAGCGAATATTAGCAAATGTGGGTATGTACTTAGGTAGTAAAGCAGGAGGGAGATCACTACTGGACATGGCTTCATCTGATCGCAAATTTTCCAACCATTTAAGTGACCGCTCTGCAACTTTTCTGGCGTCGGGGAGGTCAATCTGAAATGGAGAACAGGGAAAGAGAGATGAGGTTGTGCGTATTCTTGTAGATTGCAGAGCACTTAAACAACGCCGTTTGCGAGAATGGATGCAAGAGAAACAACTCAAGTGGAAAACTCAAATCGCAGCTCGGATAACCGTGTCAGTGCACTGAACCTCCAAGAGATGTAACAATGCAATCTGGCATATTCGGAAAGCGTTTCAGATGTGTCACGTATATACGAACTGAAAGAAACATCCGATTTAAAGAGAACCGAGAAAACGGAGAAATCAACCCATAACCACTTGAGGTAAGCAGTTTGCGCAACTAACCCATAGGTGAGGGGGGGCAGACCATCATGACACCAGCCAACTGGCGAAGTCACCTGTACTGAATGCCTATCAAAGTACGCTGACATTCGAGTTGAGTAAGGACTTACTGGAATCAATTGAAGCGCACTGGTCTCATATTCACCAGTCCTTACTAATAGCAGGCAAATCCTCTTGTGGTAGGTCTAATAGCGAACACAGACATTGGGTCTCTTCGCAGTCTCTGGAACTTATCGATGCTCGCCGGCATATTCCGGCTCGAAGCGAACACAGTGAAACTCGCAAGGAGTTTCGGGCAAAACTCCGTGCTAGCCTGAAGAGAGACCGCCAATCCCGGTTGCCTCATCGTGCATCAGAGATGAAAATGGCAACTGCCCTTGGTAACCATCGTAAGTTATTCGGCTGACACGGAAAATGGGCAGTAGAGGAAATGGCGTAAGTGAAACAATTTATAACCATAGTGGACAGTCTATCCACAACTTGTCAAAACGCTTGGAGCGTCGGGCTGAACAGTTAGAAAGGCAAATTGTTCGTTTAGAATTGTTAGATTTCTCGCCGGCCACTGATCGCCCCGCTCCCTGGGCTGCCCCCTCTCGCACAGAAGTCGAACGTAAGATCGCACTGTTGAAGTTGAACAAAGCCGCGGGACCAGATGATCCTCCTCCAGCCCTCTTTAAATTCGGGGGACCTGGTATTATGGGTGATTTTTACAAGATTTACTAGTGAGACTGTGGAAGCAAGAAACTGTCACAACGGACTGGAGCCGCTCAGTCATAGTCCCAATTTTCAAGGCAGGATCACGATCGGAATGCGACAACCATAGAGGAATCAGTCTGATCTCCATCGCCTCCAAATTGAATGACTCTGTCATGTTTCACAGACTGACTGGCACTCTTAAAAGCCAGATTCGTGAAAAGCAAGCCGGGTTTCGTCGAGGTCGTGGCTTATTTGCGTCAGTTGATGAAGCACCGCCACATTTATTGGCGGCCCACCGTTGTCGTGTTCCTCGATATCAAAGGTGTATTCCATTCGGTGGATAGACGTGCACTTTAGGACTGTCTACTCAGGGAAGGTGTACCTGAGGAATATGTAAATATTATCCGAGCACTATACACGCATAGCTCAGGCAGGAAAAAGGGCTTACCAAAAGCTGTCGCAGGCTTTTAATTTCTCCAGCGGTGTGAGACAAGGATGCTCGTTGTCACCTTTCCTCTTCAACTTCGCTATTGACGAAGTCATGGTAATCGCGTTCATAGGACGCGACTTAGAAGGTGTGAATCTTCTCCCAGAAAAACGACATCTTGACTTGGAGTATGCTGAGGATATTGACCTCATCTGACAAAGCTCCCAGACGCGCCAAGCGGCAATGCTCGGAATAGCACTGGCTGTCAGCCGCTTCGGGCTTTGCTTTGCACCATCGAAATGCAAAGCGTTCCTCCAAGATTGGCAGGGATCGCCTCCTTCGCTGACCCTAGGTGGGGATCACCTAAAGTCGTACAAAAATTCAACTACCTGAGAAGTTGCATCAGCGCCCGTGGGATTGAACACGAGATCACGAACCGTATAGCAAAAGCTCAAGACGCTTTGGTCAACCTTCGCTACCTATGGCGGCGGCGCGACATTACTCTCGCCATGAAGGGTAGAGTGTATAATGCAGCAGTACGTGCGACCCTATAGTACGGTTGTGAAATCTGGCCTCTTAGATCACCGAACCTGAAGAGGCTAGTTACGTTCGACCATCGGTGCCTTCGCAATTTAGCTCAAATCTGGTGGGAACACCGCGTGAGTAACGAGCGTGTTCGACGCCTTGTTTACGGCACTGGAGAAGGAAATGAACCACACAGCACCGTTATTTCATGCACCAGATTCCGATGGGTCGGCCACGTGTTACGCATGCCAACCCACCGATTTCAACGACGTGCGTTGTTTACGCACCTGGGGTCTGGATTTAAGGAGAGGAGTGGCCAAGCGATGATTTGGCCGAGAGGAATGAAGGCCCTCACCTCGGAGCTAGCCTCAGTTGGAGCGTCACGACTCCGTGATTGGGGTCCGAAAGACGATGAACATGTTTGGCTGGATACACTTGTTGTTATGGCAAGCGGCCGACCTGTGGCGTTCGTGCTGAGTTTCTTTGTCCCTCCCCCTCCAAGCACGATCTCATTATTTAGCATTTTATAATTTCGCATGGTAATTTTTTTCTGCTACATAGTAGACGGCAGGCAGCTTACCGGAGATGCCCATCCGTTACCGGTAGCTCAGCTGGCTTGCACCTGTTGCATTTTATTCCACTTTTTCATTTGTGTATTGTGGTACAGTAGCTGTATAGCTTGTATAGTGTGTGTGTGTGTGTGTGTGTGTGTGTGTGTGTGTGTGTGGATCAGAGATGTCCAAGGGGCGGCACGCGGGCCAAACACGTCCCGCGTTAACAGTTCAGCTGGCCGGCGGCCTTATCATGAAATAATAAATTCGAGCTTGCACTTTTTCTGTAAAGATGACATTAATAGATTACAAAGGTTACAAGGGTTACGAGTACAAAATTCATTGTGAGCAGATACCGGTAAAAATCAATGATATAGTATTGTCTATTTTTAACCAAGTAGGAAAAGTCAATCTAGTACTTTTACTAAAGGGGTCTTAACTAAATCGAAAAATACAAAAATCTCCAGATCTTTCCCATTAAAAACTTGCAATAAAAATTTATGTCATTTTGAGTATTATCTTAATGTCAGAATGAATGCGGCTTGACATATTTTTACCTCACGAAAAGTTTGGACACCTCTGACCTAGGTCAATGTGGGTCCCCACAGATCCGCGCCCACGGAATGACCTAGGATGATTTGTGTTCAACCTCCCACACCTGTCAACAGGCAAGCCTTCGCCTACCCCAAAGAATACGTGTCCCCTCATCGCAATCAGGAGTTTCAGTGATTGTCAAACCCTCGATTAACCACCAGGTCAAAGCATCAGTTCATTAGCACCTTAAACTGTGGCGGGAGGGACATTTAGGCATACATTAAATGTCGAGTCTTTTATCCGGCTCTATGTGGTGTCGGCCACAGGGTGAAAGCAATCGCGATTAGTTATTTCACGTAATTAATATTATGTAAGGTACGCAGGTGATAGAGAGACGCAGCGACAATATCCAGAAGGCATCAATAGCAGTACGCCGGTACGCAGTACCGATGCTTCGCTGCCGCGTAAACACCACCGGTCGCGTATGGCCTACAGATACTGTGATGGTTGGCCGGTCCCTACGCAGTCTCGAACCCGCGCCTTCGGATTGCGAGGCAGCCTTGTGAGAAGTCACGTGAAAAATAATGAGTTAGGCGCGATGCCTATTGCACGTAAAGGTGCACAACTTATGTAGGTCCTAATCAATCCCTTGGATTGTGGTTAACACTGTCGACGTCAGCGTTGCCCATGACAGCGTCAAGAAACTAGGAGTCCTCGTTTTATGAAAAAAGAGAGCAAATGTATACCAGGAGCTGGACTTTTTCCCAACAAGCATACGAATACTTACTTTCAAGTGGCATTTGGTGTACTCGCTGTGTGGTTGGATTGCGACTCGCAATCTCTATTCAGACCTCGGTCCTAAGTGGACCTCGGTCATTACGATCACAAGGACCGTAACCAAATTGGTGGTTCGGTGTTGCTCCTCCCAACCCTGAGACCCCCTGGGGTCTCAGGGTTGGGAGGAGCAACACCGAATACTTACTTTGTTTAATAAGCAAACAATCGGCTTTTCCAACAGATACCCATCCGACCACCGCTCCAACAAATGCAGCAACAGGTAAGCGCATGCCAAAGGGCTTCGCCATGGACTTGTTTGATCGCGCTGAAATCCATTGGAATCCAGAGCCATCAATAAACAGGAGCTCCGTTCGACGTGTTTAAGGAAGTGTGTATGACGAAGAGGAGGAAGATGGGCAGCTGTATCAGATGGCGCATCGTCCTCCGTATGCGCTACGGAATCGTCAGACTTGCCTGTGTATGTCGCATATATGTCGGCCAAGCCTGTATGAGGGAATAAAAAAAGCACCAGATTGGAGGGTGGAATGCGTCCGGAACCATTGCATCAGTCATTCGACAGTAGTGTGGTCCGAGGAAGTCACAATGATTTTGCGCATAAGAAAAACATATGAGACAGTTGAAGGAACTGAGACACCCACGTGACCAATCGAACTGGATGCAGCAAATGTACAGTGCGTTAATTCGATTGCATGATCAGTTAAGGGTAAGGTATGTGAACCAGCGGTTGAAATGGCCGCAGTGAAGCAGAAAAATGAACAAATTCGTAAAATAGAAAACAAAAATGGAACTCAAACGCTGTGAAAATGAAATCATCATCATCACCATCATCATCATCATCACCATCATTATACACACGTCAGTTAGAGGTGGGAAACACCTAAGCTTCCGTGCCGCGATACATAAAAGGAGAAAGAAAAAAATACAACAGTTGCTTGCCAGCTGAGCTACCAGCAACGGATAGGCATTGTTCCGGTATGCTATCTGCCGGTTACCAGGCAACAAGAAAAATTAGTATATTTTACGCTACGAAATGAAGTCGTAGATGGAGGAGGAGGCTAAAAGGGATGGGGAGGGACAAAGAAACTAGCAGCACGAACGCCACTGAGGTCGGCTCCTTGTCATGTCAGCAAGTGTATCCAGCCAAACGTGTTCATCGTGTTTCGGACCCCAACCAGGGAGCCGTGACGCTACAACTGAGGCCAGCTCCGAAGTGAGGGCCTTCATTCCGCTCGACCAAGTCATCGCTTGGCCACCTCTCCTCTCCTTACATCCACACCTCCAGCGCGCAAACAATTCATGTCGCGGAAGTCGGTGGGCTGGCATGCGTAACACGTGGCCGACCCATCGGAGCTTGGTGCGTGAAATAACGGTGCTGAGCGGTTCATTTCCATTTCCTGTGCCGTAAACAAGGCGTCGAACACGCTCGTTGCTCACGAGGTGTTCCTACCAGATGTGAGCCAAACTGCGAAGGCACCGGTGGTCGAACGTAACTAGCCTCTTTATGTCCGCTGAGCTGAGGGGCCAGGTATCGTAACTGTCGAAGGTACCGCTGCATTGTACACTATACCCTTCAGGACGAGAGTGATGTCGCGTCGCCGCCATAGGTGACGAAGACGCGCAAAAATACTTTGAGCTTTCGCTATACGGTTCGTGCTCTCTCCTGCGATCCCAAGGGCGCTGATACAACTTCTCAGGTAGTTGAATTTTTGAACGACTTCTAGCTGATCCACACCAAGGGTCAGTGCAGGAGGCAATCCCTGCCAATCTTGGAGGAATGCTTTGCATTTCGATGGTGCAAAGCAAAGCCCGAAGCGGCTGACAGCCAGTGCTAATCTGTCCAGCGCGGCTTGGCATGTCTGGGAGCTGTCACAGATGAGGGCGATATCGTCTGCATACTTTAAGTCAAGAAGTCGTTCTCCTGGGAGTAGCTCCACACCTTCCAAGTCATGTTCTATAAATGCAATCTTCATGACTTCGTCAACAGCGAAATTGTAAAGGAAAGGTGACAACGGTTATCCTTGTCTCACACCGCTGGAGATATTGAAGGGCGGCGACAGCTTGCCGTAAGCCCTCACTCTGCCTGTGCTACAGGCGTATAATGCTCGGAAAACAACATAATGAACTAACACGATGCATGATGTAAGCGGAAACTAAGGCACTGCATAATGGTGAAGTTTCTACTCTATGAATAGGTCAATATTTCACATCGGCTGTTATAGACCAAACAGGAATTAGCGGTGTAAGCGATAAAAACGCCTAGGAAAGTTTGAGCGATATGCGCAGCCACTAGGAGTGCATAGAATCAAGACCGGAACCGGGAAGGGACAAACGATCAAGGAAATCATCCACGACCACCGGAATAATTCAAAAGTCAAAGCAGATCTGACTACGATGCTATTGAGGTGTTTCCCACCTCTAGCTGACGTGTATAATGATGGTGATGAAATCGCAGACGGTTACCTCTTGTTTGACACCGCGAAAGGTTAGTCCCAATACCAAACAAAAGAAAACAAAATGCGCAGCACAGAAATGTAAAATAAAACAGACAACAGATCATTCGGCCATAAGTCAACAGCCTAAGCCAACAAGGATTGGTCAGTTAGAAGTACATTGGATAGGCCAGCCCATATGACAATGGATCTAAACTAATGAGACAGATGGAAACAATGCAGCCGAGGATCTGCGGTCACGTGAGTACGGTGAGTCTGTCAAGCCATGGTGACGATCCATGGTTGGCGGCATCCGGTTTCGGATTTGCCTGTCACTGTGGCAAGCCACAGGACGCCTGCGCCTACAGAGGGACCATGGATGGCTTGCGCTGCACCACCCACAGCTCCAACCACACACCCCATATCCAGTGTAAACCCGAAGGAATAAGACCGGGAGGCATGTGGATGGGAACCACGTTTCATAAACGGAGCCGGCCCACACTCCTTCACAGGCAAACACAAGCACACTGTATTTGGGAATCAAGCGCACACAAGGCGGTGGCTGGACCATGGTCCGCTCCACACTGAGTGCATGGAATCACTCTTTGATCCTAACAAGGCCACAAGGACCGTGCACCCCGTCCCCTTCAGCAACGACCAACTGTCTCCTGGAGCCAGTATGAACGATGTAGTGGGTAATAGACAGGTAGGCACTTTGTCAACATGCACACCAAGTGCAACCACACCGCGGATATCAAGCAACAGCCATTCACTTTAAACGATAAGCCGAAATAAAATAAATCCAATAATGCATACAGATACGGTGGCATAACTCTACCCTAAATTACCATATGAAGTAAGTTAGTTAGCAACAAATCCGCGATAAGTAAGAAATGTCCACAAGTTACTTAAAAATGCTACATACGCGACAAAATTACCGAAGCTAAGCGCACTTAGCGTAAGCAACGTGGTCAGTTAATAGGACATTATTCAGGTAGGCAGAACAAACCAAATAAAGTGGAATGAAATTTAGCCAGCTTAAAAAGAGATCTAGTTTAAGTGTAAGTTGGTTTAGCCCAACTGCGGTGAAGAAGCATCATGAATGCAACATCAGCCTCAGCAAGGAACAAAAGAAATCCACCGGAGATAAGGAAGTAAAGGGCTGAGGGGTAATATAAAGGATAGGTTCGACGCCAGGAAAGAAAGTAGCCATTAGAAAGACGAGTAAATGAAGTGATATGAAGTGATGTGAATGGATAAAATCAATATCAGAGGTATATCTGCCTTGGCTCCATTGGGAAGAAGATGGACCTTAAGGTGAAGCGATGGTATGCGCACCTCCGTGACCCATTGAGCTACGCTGGGTGGCAATGCCAAAGTGCCTTCAGAGCCGCGCACAAAGGACATTTAAGTGGTTAAGGTTCAGAATAACTCAGTCTTCCGAAGCTGGTCGATGGTCCTCTTCCCTTAAAAGCTAACCATGAGAGATAACAGGTTTAGTGGTCACAAGCTCATAGCGCGATTAACCTAGAGCACGAGCACAACGTATTGTCTCTGACGGTTCAAAGGTTGGCTACCGCCCGCCTCAAGCTAGACAGTCCCGGGTCAAATTGGTGCAAAGCCGCCAGGTGCGTAACATACAATGGTCACGAAACACATGTGGATCACCAAAGGCTGCACGTGACAGACCTCAAGCAGATCGCAACAGATCTCTGCAATCATACCCCTGAGCCGGACTTGGCATTCCCTGCATTGTGGGTCAAGCAATTGAACCAAAAGCTCTGGGTGGAGTCTCTCAAGCGAATTTCAATATCCCCCACTGCTTTGTGGGTCGGTCAGTATGTCAAACGTCCCGGGTGGAGTCCACCTAGCGAACCTGTGTGTATTCGACTGGCTTGTGGATCAGACTGTAGAGTCAAAGGCTAGAGGTGAGGCGCGTCGAAATGGGCAGCCGGAGAGCATCATCTGTCCTATTGACCCATTCGACAATACAGCCCGTTTTTACTATTCCTCTACTTCTTTTTACGCTTACGAGGCTCTGCGAAACAGGACCTTAAAACCGCAATGACGATGTTGCCTAGCCTCGCAGTGAAACGTTTGCAAAATAATCGTTTAGCTCGGAGAGCAGTGTAATACCCATATCCATATCCCAAGCTACGAATATGCTCAACCATTTCAAATTATCTTCTCTGCCTAGTGAGTAGGAGGCTGTCGTTGACCCCGCAGCAGTCATCACCGAGACATGTAACTCCGCCCTCAAGCCAAGTGTCGCATTTCACAGTGATTCGTTCAAGATCTGCACTCTGAGTCAGATCGACCAACGGGCAGCATAGCCCTCTCTCTTCACTCTCTTGGTACTGGTGTGCTGTGTCTCCGAAACAGGCAAACAAGATGACAGCGCTGTGACGAATGTTCGACTTCTCGGTTCTGAATCTGACGACAATGAATACACTCTTTGCATCTCTGGCGATACCGGGTCAATGGCTCAAGGTATTTACGGTATTTAAGGTATTACCATCAACAAACGTGCTGAAGGCAATCTGTTCGATTGGACACCGCGGTGAACAGCCGCATATATGCGGTTCAACTTCGAACCGATATTGGAGTTAGTAAGCAGCGTATGAATACAACATGGCTTTTCACCGCCTCAGTTTACCCCCCCCCCTGCGGTCTGCAGTACTGAAGGTATCAAAGACTACTTTTGTCGACAGCAATCATCTCTTCTTCGAATGGCGAAGAATAATGACATCATGATTGTTGATAGTGACTTGAGTGCCCAAGTGGAACGTCTTTCAAACTCTGAACAGCCCCTGGGAGGCCGCTTTAGAGTCCATGAACGCTTAAGTGACAGTGGCAATCGACTCCTGCAGCAGCGGGCCGTAAATAACATTATATCAGTGGCAGTGCTTTCCAGAACCGAGGTTCAGATCAGGTCACTTGGCGCCCACTGAGTTCCGCCACGACCTGCACCCAGATTGGTCAAATCCCATCAGCTATAGATGGCGCATATTAGTTCCAAATCGTCAGTTAATTTAGAAGTGCCTGGATTCCGACCAGGCTCTAGTGTGCGCACGCCTAGCGCTCACTCGTCCCAGTTTAGAGATGGAAATCGGGTGTTTGATGCCGATGCATTCCACCTTTCCAGCTACCGTAAAACTCGCGAAACTAGAAACTACAGTTTCCTAACGTTTAAGATTAGTGTGACTAAGGGATGGATCTAAGTAGTAAGTTAAAGGGAACCAATCCCAAAGGTAGATGCGGCCATACGGACATTAAACAAACGAAACTACACTGGAAAGGCGCATGTACGGTGTACTCCCCCGAGAAGACAAGTAGTTCAAAACTGTGACTATATGGCCATGAGCTAGGGGATTAAACATTTTGATTGTTACTAATGAGTAGGAGGATTTTGTAATTGGAATGTTTTCGTCCCAGCTGCTCACAAGGTACATAGCACATCCTATTCCGGAAAAGCACCATATGCATTTCGCCCTAGTGGGGCTCGTCAGTGGTGCGTATTCCCTTGGTCCCCTACTGGGGCTCGAACCCAAGACCGCTAGAGGCGGATGCCAATTAGTCAGCAGCTTAAGGCACTGAGCCATAGGGGATGTCAACTGGGATACACAATTTGCAAGCTAACTAGGATATAGTACGAACTATCTTTCACGGCTACGCAGGTTACTACCTTAGCAGATAACAGTGGCTAGCCTCCGAGGGTCATGATTTCCTCTCACTAGACGATACATCCATAGCATTTGAAACTAGAAGAGGCTACATTTTATATTACTAATGATTAGGAGGATTTTGTAATTGTGATGTATGATGGTTGCGTCTAAGTTGGAAGTGACGCTGGTAATAATTCACTGTCCTGTCAGCTATCGCAGTGCAAACTGTATAGCTAATCCAGGGGAAGTGGTCACACTTACTGATTCGAGGGACATGCGCGAGCGGCTCAGTCCATATGTACAAAACCGAAGAGTAGTAATCCTTCGAACTATCACATCACTGGGCTCAGTTGTGACTAAGCCTCAAAGAAGATTTGTTTTAGGCCAAAAAAGAAAGATAAATCGGTACCTAAAGGACCACATGTTAGCAGACGCGTATCAGAAGTGGTCGAAGGTATGACATAACGGATAGAGTAACGACCCCAAACATGGCAAAAGTAACGCAATTGGCAATTAGTGTGCATACAAAGCATAAAGGAGAAGGAATCACTCAAGTTGCGTAAGAGTGATGCTCATTCAGCTAGACGAACGCAGTAGTGAGATGACTCACCAGGGAGATCCGCCAAACTGATCATTCGACCGTCCTCATATTTGCAATGTGCGATTTGGGGCCTTATTGTTGTGAAAGGGTAGCTAGCGATCTTCACATTTGCATTGGACAGCGCCTTCAGTAGACTGGATTTACCAGCGTTCGGAAGGCCGATGAAACTATAATCAGCCATTAGCTGTGAACGAGAACAGATGGAAAACGATCAGGAAAAAATGCGGGATCAAACCAGGTGTTACATTGGGTGTGGATCCAGAGCTCATGGTTGTGATCAAAAGCATTAAGAAATAAAAATCTTAACCGCAATACAGTAGCCACATGGTCGACAACAAATCCACCATATATATTGCAACAGTCTATGAATAGACATTGAGCCATCAGAAACCATGGAACACAAAAAAACGTACAGAAATAGTAAAAGAAAACACAACACATCAACGTCCATGGTTTCGTCAGAGGACGAGATACTACCCGGTTGCCCAAGTCGAAGTAGGGTGTTGACTTAGGGGATACCACCCAGAGACTTTGGCTGAATAGCCTGTCCGCAACGCAGCGGAGCGTATTCACGAAATCGCGCCCATTGGCAGCCGGCGACTGATTGCTCAGTCCATACGCCTTGCGTTTGTTCCTTTATCAAATAGGGGTCCAATGCTCCCCAGAATTACAGCACAAAGTTACTGGATTACAATGCTTCGTCAGGATGAAGCAAGGGGCAGTGACTCTATTTAATGGCGAGTCAGGTCTGCCACGTCACAGTGTGGTTAGACGGACATAGGTGGCCTTTTAGAGGGAGAACGCTTGTCAGGCGAAAATCCACCACCTCCTGGAACACTGTCGCCGAACGATTTGCTGGAACGGGAAAATCCCGAACCACCTAGCTGGCACCAGGAGGAGGCTGTTCGGCGAACCAGACCAGCTGGATGAGTAAACACATTGTTAGATACCATTCATCGTTAGCAACGCGTGCGTCTGGGTACCAGTCAGGTGGCCATACTATGGTGAGATCAAGAAGGCACATACATGGTATACAAAATCAAGTACAGTGCAAAAACTGAGTCAATTACTATGCCGTTTCACTCTTAAGCGCTAGGTTGTAATGCCGAGATAGGAGGATGTAGCCGTCCACATTTGTTAAACATGATTTGTCCGAATTACTAAGCTTGTGGACAGAAATAGGCAATCGGGAAGCAAAGATACGACAACAATCGGAGATCGACGCATGGGCAACAATCAGAATGTTTAGGAAGGAATATGCGGATAAACGAGAAAGTAGGGGACATGGATGGCATAAGTTTAATTCACCAAAAATCGTTCGTCCAACAATCATCAACAACAGCAGTACATCAGCCATTTGAACTGATGTTTCGCTGCCATACAACCATGATGACAGATGGAATAAAAAATAATAAGAGGGAGAGAAGGGGGCTTACAGGAAAAACTTAATGCCCTAAGCAAACATTCAGGGCCAAAGCGCCTACTCCTTGTGTAGACAACATACCGTTACAAACAGCTGGCTATCGTGCAAATATAAGGCGGCATGGGCGAGACAGCTTCCTTGCGGCTTTCACTGCCCCGCGTCACAATCAGCCATTACAAAACAGATAACTCAGCACCAAACACACTTTAAACAAGCAGTCTGACTAGGAGACGAAAGCAGACGCGCGACTGGTGTCGGCTGCGAGACAAGTCCTGTAAAGACTTGAGCCAAGCACAAGGTGAGTCACGTGGACTCCAGCCCGGAAGGCGAGACGGACCGACGGCACCAAATTGGTTGTTTGTGACTTTATTTCACGTTGCGAATTCAACTTTTGTCCACCACGAGTCTTGCGCCACCCTATACCTGGCAGACAAAACAAGGCCCTACTAGGTAAGCGATGACCAGGCATACGTAATACGTGCCCAAGCCAGCGCAACTTATTCAATGCTATCTGTTGTTCTAAGGAACTAGCTTGGTTATCACTGCTTAACACTCGCCTACGCACATCATGGTTGCGGACACACTGGTGCCATCCGGAACCAGCAATGCTCCGCAGACAACAATGATCGAAGATGTGAAGGCACCTCAGATCTTCAGACCGAAGGGGCTAAACCTAACTACCCTCACTGTGGCCTTGTACACACAGCCTTACAAACGGAGAAAAACGCCCTTCTGTAGCCAAAAATGTCGCAGGTTCAAGAAAGCAGTTCTGGCTTTTGCAATGCGTAAACTGACTTATGTTTCTATATGTCCACCTTGCAGCTGCCAAGGTGTTAATCTATCAACCACCTCGAGTTCCTCGTTATCAAGGGCCAAAAAGTCATCAATTGGCTGGTGGTCCTGCAGCAACACTTTGCACTTTGAAGATACGAAGCGTATACCAAATAATGGGACCACTCTAGAGAGGCTATTCAGGGTTGATTGTGCCGCCCCAACATCGTCAAAAAACAAGACGATATCGTCGGCATAATCTAGATCAACTAACCTTTCATCAGACAACACCTCAACGCTTGCATTATGAGGTAAGGTAACACTCCATGATGGAGTCCACAACGAAAGTGAACAAAAATGGGGAAATCGGACAACCCTGACGAACGCCACTTGTTGTCCGAAAACTATCCGGCAGGTCACAGCAGACCCCGACGAGGCCTATAGTGTTCGAGTACAGAGCCCGTAGGATGTTCACGTATTTCGTGGGAACACCTTACAACCCAAGCATTTCAAATAGAATGCATCGGTCGAATGAATCGAACGCATTCTCGAAATCGAAGAACACAGCTACTGTCGGTCTGCGGTATGCGTGGCGCTGCTCTAGCACCTGCCGCAAAGTGAATATATGGTCTATACAGCCACGTCCTGGGCGGAAACCGGCCTGCTCTTCTCTATTCCGAGATTCCCGTTCCGCAGTGAGGCGACGAACGAGAATCGAGGCCAGTAGTTTTGTCACAACTGGCGTTAGGCTAATACACCTGTGGTTCGAACAGTCTGTGCGACTGCCCTTTTTGTATATTGCCACTATAATCGATTCATATCAGTTAACCGGGGCATACTTCCTTACAGATATGTTCGAATAGAGAGGTCGGTGCTTTGCAGAGGACCTCACCTCCATTCTTAAACAGTGCAGGTGGGAGGGAATGCGGGCAAGCGGCACGAAAACGATTGAGGACTGCGATCGCGTCTCGGACCTCGGCTTCCGATGGAAGCTCTAAACTAACCTGCATCACCTGATCAGGAAGAGGTCCAGATGCAGGGAGCCAGCTGAACTGATCTTGAAAGTGTTCCGCCTAACGAGCCATACGGCGCTCCTTATTGTGTATCAGTGCACCCGCGCTGTCTCTGATGGTCTCACTGATGCCTGGTTTCCTGGAATCAGTGGTGCGGATCAGCTGAAAGAGCTTGTGGTAATTGCCTATTGCTCCTGCCTCGTCCATTACTTGAGACCGACTGGTCCACCAGGCTTCCACGTCAGCATGCAGGCTTCGCTTTAGTTCCCGCCTGATAGTCCGTCTGGTCACATTGTGCTCAGAGTCAGCTGGGAGGTTTCTTCTGGATGCCAACAGGTGTACCGAGCTCTCGAATATCCAGTGAGTGGTGCTCCGCACACAGTTGCAACAGATGCTTGCCGTTATCCTTATCGGCGAAGTTAAGCCCATAAGTATCATCTAGCTGAGCTTCTGAAGAATTCAGATGCCCTACTTGTGAGTTCATAGTCCCTGCAAGTACTAGTATATCTGAACTAGTAGCACTGCGTAGTAGCGCGTTCAGTTCGTGATAGAATGTGTCCTTGGCAGCAGCAGAACTGCAGTCGGTGGGAGCACAAGCGAAAATCACAAACAAACAGCGTTTTGTACTACTTCGTGAATCAACCTTAGTGGATGTGGTCAAACGGGCTGCACACAAACGGCTGTTCACCGGAATCCAGTCAACCAACGATGACTCAGCCTTGGAGCTGAGAATGTTACCTACCCCAGCTTGACCCGTGAGTGCTGCATCGGGGTCTCCGGATGCGTGCAACCAATAGCGAGAGGACAAACTGGGTGGTTAATACAACAACCTCATTGGGGTCATTGATCCTAGGTTCGGACACACTACATACGTCAACATCCATTGCATCTAACATGCATGCGAGTGAATCCTATTGACTTATTTGTTTTAGAGTGCGAACGTTGCACGCCGTCTGGGAAATGGGATAGTGTGGCCTTATAAGAGATTGTTATTGATAGGCATCCAGTGGGTAGTGCGGGAAGTTAGCTGCAAATGCTGTGAACTCAGTGATACTCCGGTTGCTGTCAAGTAAGCTGGGAAGCATAAAAGAAACGTTAGTAATGGGGTTGGGAGGGGAGCGAGAGAAACAAGTGGAAAAAAGAAGGGAGGCACCAGTGGCAACATGTTTTTGCTTATACGCATTGCTGTATGCAGCAGATAAGGCGACGCCGGCGCAGGATGTAGTTAGAGTTTGAGGAAGTAGTCATGGTTATATATGGGCTGAGATTCTGCCAAGATGCCCAGACCTAGACAGGAGGACGTTTAAGGTCCTCATCCAAAGCCTTTGGCTCAAAAGCCCGTCCGCAAGGTAGCGGGGACGTGGCAATGATACAGTTTTAAAGTAATGGATGCCATCCCATTTCAAACCCCCAATCTGGAGGACCAGGAGACTGAGTTTGTCTGACCTCTAACCATCGACCAATTTGGTAGGAGTAGCTCTCAAGGGTCCCAGGAACACCACCCAGTATATCTCAATGGGTCAAGGTACACAAACCGTCGCAGCACTTTAAGGTCCAGTGTCGTTGCAACGGCATCACTCGTCCGGAAAAGTGCTATACCGCCGGCTTATCTTCTCGGCATGTACGTTACATCTTCAAAGTGCAAAGTATTGTTGAAGGACCTGACCGGTAAGCAAACAGTTTTAGCTTTCAGCATCGGTACATTTACCTTGGTAGCTGTGTCAACTCTAGTGCTCACATCACCGAGAAGGTTACCTCACGTATCAGCAACGCCCTTATGGCATTTCAGAGGTTCAACCATCTGAGAAGTAGACGGGATATCAGTCTGTAAGTGAAAGGTCGGGTGTATGACGCAGCGATGAGACCAGTGTTGTAGTATGCATCAAAGATCTGACCAGTTTGTGGTGGAGATATTAAACGATTGGCCGTGTTTGACTATCGACGCTTACGGAGTCTTGCTCATATATGGTGGGAACGCCTGGTAAGATCCGCCAATTGGTTTAGTAGTAAGAAGCCTTCTGGTGTCTCATCTGAGTGGTGGTTTCAGTTCAACAACTTAAGTTGGCTAGGCCAAGTCTTCCGTTTTTAGGCGTGCATTATACACCGCTGTTGCATTAAGCTGGACGAAACCGCGAGGTGGCCAATGAGGTGACATACAGGTATGAAGAAACTGACCGAAAGACTTGATCAGACTAGTGCGTGCCGTGCTCGCGGATGGGGGTCTCGGGATAATCCACATCAGTGGTTGGAGACTCAATCGGAAGAGGTGCAATAGTAGGTGGGGTCCTCGCATGCAGTTTCTTGCATCTAGTTGCTAAGTCTCGTTTAACAAACCTCCTTCTCGATTCCATTTTCTCTCCATTCAATTTATAATTGACCACGTTTTATCACCGTTTTGATTTACTGTTCTTCTTGCGAGGTGGGTGGTGGCAACTGGATCTGCCGCACTCCGGGGCCCGAATCATGGTTGTTCCATTGAACCGAACTGAACTATCCTCTCAGAAATTGTTAGCAGTGCGCATTCCACCTGTCCACTGTGAGTCTATAACCCGAAGCCTCATACTTATTGGTCAGTGATTAAGACTAGAGGGTCAGGGCGGACGGCAACAACCAACATGACTGTTGCTGTATGTGACATGCTGCAGCTCAAGCTCTAGTGACCAGCTGCTCAAACATGAATAACCAAGTGAATTATGGCACCAAAAGCATCCTGAGTATGGTAATAATTTAAAGGTAATACTGTGGGGGGGAACTTAAGGTGCAAATGTGGCGACGATGGTCAGTGAGAGCTTCATGGAAACTGCGGTGGGCGAAAAGTGCAGGAGAATTATCGCATCAGTCAGAATGGGTGCGCAAGAATGGCGAAGTGTAGTAACAAAGAAGTAACCACAATTAAGGTGAATGCCGCGGTTATTAGGCATAAAGTGCACACCGGATTGTCAAGTAGATCAGTAGGAGAGTAAGTATATCTAAGCGTGGGTCCCATACGCCTGTGATCATGAAAAAACTGCCTCCAAAAGCATCATGTTCCCATTGATATGGAAATTATAGCAAAAGGCGATGAGACACACTAGACCAATGTGAGTTCGATTTCTAAGAACAATCGAGAAAAATATGTCGTTATTCGGTATTTAAACCCACGAAACATCGAGTTTCAACAATAACTATACAACAAACAGCAAATTGTAACAAGGTTAAACAAAGCTAGCATTCCAATTAGGTAATCACATTCATAGATGGAGGGGTTAAAATAGGACACTAACCTTTAAGTCTAGAACAATTGAGGTTGCCTGACCACAAGTACCAAGATATCCCGTCTGGGGTATTCCGCCCATGCCACCCTGAGCGACAAGGAGCCGTTGTTCCGGCCTGTCCAGATCACCCAACATGACGGGGGTGGATTTGCCCTGAGCAGCTGTATACACACTGATACCGGGAGGCACTGGGATGATAACATCTTCGCCGTCACGTCCGAGTACAAGGCCACGGCGCTTGCTGGCCTCCAATCCATGACCAGCCTTTGAGTGAGCATCCAAGGGAACCAAAAGGGATTAGCAGATAGGGTGCCGTTCAATCATCACGTTACAGTTAAACTAAAGATTGAATGACAGAACAAAAGCTGGATAGTGGAGGAATAAACAAAGTGCGTAATTCTCCGAGTAAAACACCGACCCATGTCAGAAAAAAAGGAGAATCGGCAGGAGTAGAGAGAGATGGAGGTAATAATGAGAATTACGTCCTGGTGCATGCAACCCGCTTCCCCTACGCCGGGCAGTAAGTTATCACAAAAGTAAATCTGATAACCAACTGGCTAAAACAGCGAGGAGGAAAGAGAATAAGGAAAGAGATGATATTCATTTATACATCATGATCCACGAGTGTACAAAAAGCCCCATCTGTAACGGAATGTAAAAAGGAACCCGCAGTACGTAGGCACGCGGTACCGACGCTTCGCTGCCACGCAACCGCCATCTGTCGCACGAGGGCTAAGGGTACTGCGGGGGTTGCCTAGTCCCCCATAAGCAGTCTCGAACCCGCGACCTCCGTGTTGCAAGCCAGACGCCTTGTTTTATCGATCTTCCGGAAACGTGGCAACCGATTCCACGCAATAACAAATTGTGGGTGTGCATAGATAGACTGTCCAGACAAGCATCAAGAGGTGGTGGCTGCTGTCTGGTGGAACTGATGAAGAGAAACGACCAAAATCTTTGTGAGACTCGCAGATAAGTCCATGCAGACGCCAAAAAGCACGACAGTCATGAGGGTTATTCGAACGGTTGGACGATAGACTCCTGAAGTAGGGAAATGGTTGGCGGGACCCGGTTTCAAATTTGTCTTTCACTCTATCTTCTACGGGGACAGGCACAGGGCGCCTGCATCTATAGAGGAATCATGGGTGGCTTGCATTGCACCACCCACAGATCTATCGGCGCACCTCATATCCAGTATAAACCCGGAGGAATAAGAGCGGGAGGCATGTAGATGGGAGTCAAGTTTCATCAACGAAGCCGGCCCACACTTCTTCAACATGCACAGCAGCAGCATTCATGCATGTCTATGTAGAGAACTATGCGTGCCAGACAAGGCGGTGCCTGAGCCGCAGTTCGCTCCCCATATTGGACGGAACCGCACTTTGAGCCTAGCACGGCCGAGGGCCGTGCACCCCACCCCCAGTAATGACTCGCAGTCTCCCGAAGCCAGTAATCCAGGTGGAGGACGTTAGACAGGTAGGCACGTTGCCAACATTCACATCAAGCGCAGCCACATAGGGGATATGAAATAAACAACACGGAATTCGTAGGAAAATATACAAGCAACACTGACACGGAATGTGTAGCAAAACCGGATCGATGTCTAGTAGGGCACCGAGGGAATGCGTACCACTGAAACGTGTCTGGTGTTTTGCCGGATTGTGATTGAGGTATGTGGCTTGTGAGCTGCTGAGACGAATACATTACAGGCATAACTAAAATCCACATCCACTTTTAATCCAGATTAAGAAGGGCTAGTCGGTGTAGTCCAACTGCGGTGGAGAAGCATGCTGTGTGCGTAATCGACCTCAGCACGAAAAAGGGGACTACACCAGCCTTAACAACAACGGGTAAAGATGGAATTAAGGACGAAAGTGATATAGTACAGAAATAAGGTGAGGCATAGCGATCGACAGACACGAGAGCGAAAGAAGCATAAAAAGGCAAGAGTTGAGTCAAAGAAGAGTCTATGGTATGGAGGAAAAGCTGAACAAAATGCGATTCGAATGCCAGTGTGAGGTGGAGATTACTGCCATGAAAATATCACAGTAGCAATAAGACATGAGTACCGGGGAGCGAGATGAAGCAAGCTGAAGGTGAAGAAACAAAGAAATAGGAGCATTTGATTGAAATGCCATGAGACGGACGCATGAGAGTGAACACCGCAGTGTCACATACTACTTAAATGACGTTTCGAACAGTCGGTGAGATCCAGTGGGAAAGCATCCAGGTAGGTCATTGCATGCTGAGCTAATCGTCACCGGTGGACGGTCTAACCGTAGTGCTCGACGGTACACAGCGAGCAGAGACGTTCTTAGACATGTGTTTGTTGACCTCCGTTGCTATTTATAGCAATGGCCAAATGACATCTTTTGCAGATTTTCCATAGAGAAATCTCATCAACAGTCCCTACAACTTACAACAAACTTAAAACAACCCTACAACTTATGTACCACACTACACCAGCTTAAAAGGTCTCGTGAAAAGTGAATCGGTAAAAGTTGCTGTTGCTCTCCTAGGGTCGGACCCATTGGCTATGTGATTTCAAATGGATAAACAGAGGCGCATGTTTTAGTAGTGCTTGGACACTCCAAAGTATACGATGCACTGGCAGGACTGGGCGGACACGCCATAGGTACCTGTCTTCAGGTAATAGCTATTAGAAGTAATCAATCGCCGGCCCATAGCCTTAAGGATCACAAGACTGCTTTGTGATCCCAGCGTGCGGATTCGAGCCTGAGTAGGAACCGGGTGACCTACGCAGTATCCTTATCCCATGTGTGACTGTTGGTGGTTGTACGGCAGCGAAGCGTCGGTACTTCCCACTGGCGTATTGCTGATGCCGTTTTTATTGTTTCACTTACCTTGGGGGTATTGGGACAAATCTAATGGTCACAGTAACGAAGGGGCCACTACAGTTATTAGAGAAACGATACCAATCGTGATGAGTGCAGGACGTGCACAGTGACAACGTGGTGTACGTGGAGAACAGATGACCAGAAAACCACAGGGTACTACATGAACTGCTGGTAGTTTAGGTCTGCAAAGGCAAAGTGGCAGTACCAGTGGGTTAGACACGCCGATTCCAGCCTAAACACATTAGGAAGGTAACCAAAAACGCTAGCAAGGACACGATACAAAAAGCCCATTATCACTAAATGGAGCAAGTAAGAGCTAGCAGAAATGTCAAAGAAACAGGGTGAATAAAAGGCAATGAAATCTAACGACTGCATTAGGAATGCAGACAAAGAAGGAAATTAGACTGACCTTAAAACGTTTCGTCGGACTTAGTTTTAAAATCGCGTCTAAGGTGGCACCCTCTTTAACTTCAAGGTATATACTTCCACCATTGCCACCCTTACCACGAATAGTGGGATTCCCCGCTGCACCACTCCCAGCTTTCACGAAAATACGCAGTCGGTCAATAAACGAACGAGACATGAAGATCGTAGACCTGAGGTCGCTGAATTCTGAGTGTCAACGAGAAGGTAAAGCGCCTGAAAGCAGATAAAACAGTTACAAGTAGTTCGAATACGGCAGGATTAAGTAGCTTGGATGAGTAAGGGGTTGTGTTTGTGGGAACGAATCAGCTCTGCAGGGTTACATTTCAAAAGTATACATAAATATTCGGTATGAGCTCAGGAATGCTGAGAAAAATTCATAAGACGGTTAGTGCGATGTGTGGTTCAGACAAGATTTCCATAGAGTATTTAATAGCAAGGAGATGTGAAAAAGTGATAAGCAATCTTAACAAGAGTTTGCCTTGAGGTTTCGTATTTGGAAAGCACTAGAACTGTGGGCAGTTCAAAATAAATCCGCCTGTTCTTATCGCATGTAAAGTTGTGAGAGAGACTGTCAGGAGTTCGGTCAATCTCAATGTCCCTGTTTTAGACTAACTATTTGCTGACACGAAAAACAAGGGATGTTGCTGTTGAGTAGCTACCCAATATTGGTTGATGTAACATCCCGAAAAAAACAGGAATTCGAAAAGATGTAAAAGTTGAGCAGTAATGCTCCTCTCCATGGCCACAAGTCAGAGGGCCCAATCTCATTATTAAGCGCGTTTTCAGTTGAATCTTAGTTTTAATTTTACTTGCGCTTAGTCGGGGGTTTCTTTGCATAGCACGATCGTCCAAACAACAGCGCGCATAAACGGTCGCAGAAATACTACACAGCGGGTACTATAAGACCTATCAATGAAATTCTGACTCCCGTGTCAAACGCTGCTTGCAGAGTCGGATTAGTGACCAAAATGTAAACCGTCATCCACCATGTGACGGGTTCTACTCTCTACTCAAGTTACTACCCAGAGTGCAGTGTTGTGAGAGAGCAACTCCGTAATTCCGCATTTCGGATGAAGTTTCACCGATCGAAATGGTAGAGGTTTGCTTCAAAGCAGACCGTGACTTCAAATGAGATTGAGTGTCACAGCCCAGACACACGGTGGATACTCCAAGACCCAACAATACCAGTAAAACTTATCAACATTGCACCATTCCAATTCAGGAACCATTGACAAAGTTCGTATAAAATATCCAGTAACTAGTAGAGAAGTGCGATCTGAGGAACATATTTAAACATTTCGACTATATAAGGTTAACTAGCGATTACCGATATTCGCCTGCCAACATCGAGCAGCGCAACGAAATGCGACGAACCAGATCAACAGACACCAAGTTATGATCATAGGCACTAAGAATAAAAATGTGAGAACTAGATTAAAACGGCGGAAGTAGCATAAAATGAGAATCGAAAGATAAGCATCAGGTGGAGACAAGAAAACAAACGGACGCACAAAACACTGTTGCACTGCGTGGGTAAATCCAAAAAAGGGAGCGAGAACTGCACGATGAGATTCGAGATGCGTCAATAGCCTCCAGGTGGATAACTAGCCCCCCTCTCCCGAACCCTGTACCACCCTGAATCCGACAAAGCCCTTCGGTAAAGCCGCGTTACCGTACCTAGCACGTGCTGGGTATATGCAAGGTCTCTTTAACTGCTTGTTCTAGAGGACGAATAACAACCGTATAGTATCATCCAGTGCACCACATCGTCGTAGACACTAATATCATACGACGCGGGTAATGCGTCATAGATAACGATGGTCAAAGAGCGGTATCTGAGATATTCAGATTGATGAAGCTATCGTGGAAGAGAACGTCATTCACTGTGCCTCGCTATACGTAAATTAAGTAGATATTTGCCGTGTACTTCCATTCAGTTCAGTGGCAAAACTGTGATCCAAGCGATGGAGATAATCGCTTCAGCCTATGCCATTCGGGTTTTAAGCATCCTCACTCGGTCTGCTGAGAATGGGTCTTAACGTGGTGCGATGGTTTGTGTGTCATAACCGTCCGCTGAGGTGTGTCTGGTGGCGTTTCACACATTCAAAGTACTCATGCTAGACTAAACAGCGATTAGGGACAAGAAAAAACAGTTTCTTGGTTCTCCAGGTCAGAGGTGTGAACAAAGGTGGCCCCATATTCCATAAAAATGACTCTGTAGCCTATTTCCAAACTCCCGCTACCTCGTGGTCACGTTTTTAAATCAAAGACTTTCGTTAGAAACCTTAGCCATCCTCTTATCTAGATGGGCAACCCGACAGTAGTTTGCACAAGCAATACAATGGACACCACTTAAAACAATTTATTGATGTTCTGATTGTCTCGAAAGACAACCAACGACGTCATATCTGGGCGGGTAAGTAGTTGCCATTGTGTCAGTTGTCAGAATACGTCGTCTTGTTCACATTCTTACCAGCACTCCTGCCACCCAGTTCCAAACTCAACTTGATCCCTTCACTAGCAACATTTCAATCCTTGGACTGCCCTCATCTTGCGCGGACAGGCGTTTTTCTGGGTTCGATTAACACGCAGTCGCATGCCGTCGCACCTGCTCTGTTAATAAGTCCAAGCCCAACTAAACGGATAGCCTCAGCCCAACTGCTTTTAGTTGGAGACCACAATCTTCGCTAAGAGTAGAAGCCCTCGAGGTGACCACTTTGCTGCAGCTCGGCCAAAGAATAACACTTGTCTGAACACAAGAGATCTTGTTGGTTGACATTTGTTGGGACAATAAACGAAGTTCGCATCAGCAGTACACAGTACCGACGCTTCGCTGCTGCGCAACCACCACCGGTCGCACGTAGACTAAGGATATAATGTAAATAATGTAATGTGTCAGCTGTACGCCGTAACGGCGATTCGCTGCCGCGCGATTACCACCAGTCGCATGTGGGCTGAGCATACTGCAAGGACTTCCACCCCTACGCGGATTCGAACCGGTGACCTAATGGTTGCAAATCAAACGCGCAGACCACTCCGCCACCGGCTGAGGATACTGCCAGGGTCCCCCAGTTCCTACGCAGGCTCGAACCCACGCCATCAGATTACAAGGCAGGCTTGAGATCCTTAAGGCTACGGGCTAAGTTCAACTAAGTTTAGTTTAGTAACTATGATCCGGGTATCGAAGGGCGGTGGATCAAGTGGCCACGATGTACATTGCCAGAATAAGAATAATAAATAGGGGCAAAAAAGTGAGAATGAATGCAGACAGAAGGTAAGGGTAATGGGATGAAAAAAGACGTGCGTTAAACTAATCGAGATGGAATGAAAAGTAACAGCTAGGTGCAAGAAACTCAGTGCAAAAGCACCACTGACGGCGCGGCTGTACCATGTTCAACAGGGACTCTCAACACTGACGTGGACCACAAAAATGAAAATATAAATAATGTGTCAGATGTACACCGTAACGGCGCTTCGCTGCCGCGCGACCACCACCAGTCGCACGCGGGCCGAGTATACCGCAAGACGCCCACCGCTACGCAGATTCGAACCCGGGACCTAGTGGTTGAAAAGCAGGTGCGCAGATCCCTCGGCCACCGGCCGAGACCCCATCCACAAGGATGACCTGCACCAGCTTGATCAAATCTCTCAGTCAGTTTCTTCATTCATTTGTGTCACGTCATCAACTGGGCACATGGCTTCATCCAACTTGGTACAGCGACAGCGTATAATGCACGCCAAAGAAGTCGGATGACGGGCATCCGGTGGATGTGACCTAAGCAACTTAAGCTGTTGAGATTAAGCAAACACTTTGATGAAGCACCAGAAGGTTCGTCGCGAAAAACCAACTGACTGGCCTCACCAGTTTCCAACATATGTGAGTAAACACCGGTGACGAAACACTGCCAAGCGCTTTGTGTCTCCACTGCAAACCGGGCACGTCTCTGATCCATACAATAACACCAGCCCTACCGCAGCGTTATACGCCTTACCTTTCATTGAGAAGCTGATATCCCACCGTCTCCATAGATGGTTGAACCTCTGGAAAGTCACACGGACCTTGCTGATACGTGAAGTGATGTGATCACCAGAGGTGACATAGCTACCAAGGTAAGTGAACCGATCCACCACTTCCAGTTGCTGTTCGGTGATAGCTAGAACCGGATGTGTGCCGGTCCAGTCCTGCAACAATATTTTGCAAGTTGAAGGTGCGAAGCACTTACCGAAGCGTGCAGCGCTATGCGTCAGTCTGTACATAGCATAGTCACTGCATTAGACCCAGGGAAAGCCATATCGTATACATTCTCGAAGTTTGCCAGTCGGTCACCTGACAGAATTTCCACTCCGGAAAAGCTTGAATGAAGCAAGTCGTTAGGTATCATTTCGATCATGAAGTCGGAGAGGATAAAGGACAGTCCAGGCGAACCCAACTTGTCGCAGGACATTCGTGACACTTTCCCGTAGACGCTTACTCGGCCTCGGGGGTCACAGTAGCGAGATTATAGGATAGAAAGGAGTTTTCCAGACACACACTTCACGGATAGGCAGTGTCACAAGCTGGCACAAGAGTCGAAGGTGGCTTTCAGGTCAAGAAAAACTACCATAGTCGGTTGTCTGTGACTATCTGCTCTATAAGTTGGCGGAGTAAATATGTGGTAGATGCAGCCAAGAACAGCGTTCGATGATTCCATTCTCACGAGGAGCACTAAGTCGTCAAAGAATGATACCCATGAGAAATTTTGAGGTAATGAAACAACAAGTAACGCGTTGATGAATTTCGCACAAAGTACACCGACCTTACATGGGCACGAGACTTGACAGTCTTCAGTCTGAAGGCACTTCTTCAGTGCACCACGTAGTGCTGAATAGAGCAGCACATCCAGTCAACAAAGTCAGTTCCATCTACAGAAAAGATGGAAGGTCTTGGATTCAGCTTTATTTCATTTCAACACAGTTAGCACATGTAGAGTCTCAACTAAAGTGGGCGTGGCCCCAACTTCTCACACAGGCTCCGGTGATTCAGCAGACGGCAGCGTCGCAGAATGCCTGCTGAAGTTCCATTCAAAAGGTTCCTCTTAAAAACTACCCGACGCGGCTCAGAACGGATCAATTGCCTGTCTTTCTCAGCTAATGTCTCCCTAACTGAGGAATTTATCGAACTCGTGCTCAGGATGAGTTAAAATAGCACTCGGGTGTTCGCAATAGCCTTCTCCATCTCACGGGCCCTTGCCAGCCACCAACGTTCCCGGTCAATTTGAAGACGACATCTCAGTCATCGTTTCAAGGCGCCACGGACATGCCGAAATCTAGTACCAGTTAGAATCTGTTTCCATACTTCAATCAAACTGATGGATGCATCAGAGATCCATTCGCAGTTCGTGCGTCTTAAATTGAGTGCATAGTAGGTGACAGAAGCATTCTTAATGGAACACTTGAGACAGTTCGAGTCAGGGTTCAGCTCATCAACCATCTTCATCACTGACAAGTGGTGAACCAGTTTGTCGTGATAACGTTGAATTATGGACTGCAAATTCAAGTTACAGATGAGAAGCTTAATAGTTAGGTGCTTCTTTGGAGCATGAAGAATAACCACCAGACTTGAGCGCATAACAGAGTGGTCGACATGACCATCATCATCATCATTGTATACGTTAGCTAGAGGTGGAAAACACCTCAGCTTTGTGCCGCAATACAAAAATATGCAGAAGATGCATGCCAGCTAAGTTACCAGTAACGGGTGGGCATCGTTCCGGAAAGCTACCAGCTGGCTACTAGGCAACAAAAAAATTATCATGTAAAATTATATTATGCCGAGAAATTAGATCGTAGTTAGAGAGGCTAGAAGAGATGGGGAAGGATAAAGAAACTCACAGTACGTACGCCACTGAAACCGGCTCCTAACCGTGTCAGCAAATGTATCCAGCCAAACGTGTTCATCGTCTTTCGGATCTCAACCAGGGAGCCGAGACGCTCTAACCGAGGCCAGATTCGAAGTGAGTCTTCATTGAGCTCGAGCAATTCATCGCTTGGCCGTCTCTTCTCTTCTTCCATCCAGACCCCCTGCGCGCAAACAAGGAACGTCGGGGGAGCCGTGAACTGGCATGCGTAACATGTGGCCGAGCCATCGGAGCCTGGTGTGTGTAAGAATGGTGCTGAGCGGTTCATTTCCTTTTCCTGTGCCATAAACAAGGCGTCGAACACGCTCGTTTCTGGTGGTGTTCCCACCAGATGTGAGTCAAACTCCGAAGGCACCGGTGGTCGAACGTAACTAGCCACTCCATGTTGCCTGATCCAAGGGGCCAGGTTTCGCAATGTACCGCTGCATTGTACACTCTATCCTTCGGCGGGAGAGTGATGTCGCGTCGGCGCCATAGATGGCGAAGGTTAACAAAAACGCCTCGGGCTTTTGCTATGCGGTTCGTGGTCTCAGCTACGATCCCAAGGGCGCTGACCGAGTGCTGGAATGATGTGAGCGATCTACAGCTGATGGTAATATGGTTAATTTGGGTAAGCGAATGGGGGAATTCCGTGAGCACCAGGTGACGTGATGTAAACCTCGGTTATGGGAAGCACTGTCGCTAATATAAAGATTGTGGTCGGCACATAATTCCCGGAATCGATTACTGTTGTCTGTTCGGCGTTCATCGACCCCGTAACGGCCACCCAGATGTTGTTCATAGTCTGAAATACGACCCACTTGGGCATTCAAGTCACCAACAACAATCATGACGTCAGTGTTCTTCGCCATTCGAAGAAGAGATGAGAGCTGTCGATAGAAATAGTCTTTGATACTCTCTGAACTGCAGTCCGTAGGGGGTAAACTGAGGCGATGAAAAGGCACCTTGTCTTCATACGCTGTTTATTAAATCCAACAGAGGTTCGAAGTCGAACCGCACATATGCGGCTGTTTACCGGTATCCAGTCAAGTAGATTGCTTTCAGAATGTTTGTTGAGAGCAATACCAACACCGTAAATACCTTGAGCCATTGACACAGTATCGTTAGGGACGCGACGAGTGTAGTCACCGTCGTCAGAATCAGGACCAAGGAGTCAAACATTTGTCACGACGCCGTTCTTTTGTATGCGTGTTTCGGAGACACAGTACACATCAGTATCAAGAGAGTGAAGACTGAGAGACAGTGCTGCCTGCTCGCCTATCTAATCTAGAGTGCGGACATTAAAAGAACCAATGTGAAATGGGACTCTTCAGTTGATGAATGAGCCACATGCACAGATGGCAACAGCTGTGAGATCAGCGGCAATCTCTTGCCTAAAAGATGGGAAAGATAAAAGGAAGTATTGTTGACGGGATCTAAAGGGCAGATGATATTCTCTTGCTGTCCATTTCGACAGAGGGTTTTATTCGAGGTGCGCCACTTCTATCCTTTAACTCCTCAGTCTGACAGGCAAAGCAGTGGAATAGATGGTGACGCGTTTGAGGGAATCCACTCGGAGCCTTTGGCTCAATGGCCTGATCCCTAAGGCAGTAGGGAAACTCACTAGCAAAGTTCGAACTCTGTGCTCATTTTACGATTCCCTTCATATAACAATGGGGCCAGGATGAGCAGTTAGTACATCGGTGTAAAGATGATCGTATCTTTCTCGAAGTACCAGAGTCCGGCGCATCATCCGCCACCAGGCTCATACCAGCTGTAAAGACAATGTGAAGCTTAGACTATGCAAATCGTATCAGACGCGATCGGAAAACCGTAGGCTAGTGATCCTATACTGCACGCACGATCGTGTACAGAGGAAATAGAAAGTACATTTCTGTCACCTTGGTTCCATATTCCAGATGAAAGACAGTAAACAACGTACGAATAGGTTAGTAATTGCAACGAAAAAAGCAGACATGTCCCCCTGGTCAGACGCCGCATATACTCGACCTTGTGCTTTCTTCTGCACGACCGGATGTTTCTGATTTGAACGTTTTACCACGAATCGAGAGGAGTTACCACTGCCTAATTTCCTTTCACTAGACCACACAGTTTAGGGTTCCCAACCACTGTGCCTTTCGTCAAAATTTCTGGTGTGCTGATCCAAACCGCTTGAAGATAGCCGCTAGCGAGCGGGATTGGAGTCTTCCCCAACACTTAAACGCCGATAATGCTTAGAGTCTTGTTTACTCAAAAATGTCCGTTGTTGGGAAAGTTATTCCCACGTCCGAACGAAAACCCTTCACTAGAGGTCCCCCTGGATGTATAGAGAATTACGATGGCTCGTGAACCAGACACAAACTTTGGAATCGCTGTAGGCTTCCAAGATTGGAAACTGGCTATGCAAATTGTAAAATGCTTCGGAACGTATGTACATCGAAAATATGTGCGAAACGGCAGCAATACGGAAGTCATCTGGCTGAACAGTCCAAGTCCTCACCGAAGCTGTTCTCATATCTGAAAAGGAGCGCCAGAGCCGGAAGTGGAATGCCGCCCGTGTGCTCTCACGCTCTTAACACCGTGCTCCACGACGAATTTGATAAAGCGTCTTTTGGCTTGCCATTATTCATCGGTCTATTCAACAGAGGTATCGTCAGTTAATGGTCATACGTCTTTACCCTCTGTTCTCAGTGACATGGATATCAGCGCTAATATGGTATCTAAACATTGGTGCGAGCTAGATTCAAACTCTTCCCCGGCACCTGATGGATTGCATCCTCTGTTTCTCAAAATTATGGCTCAATATATTGCTGTTCCTGTCTGTCAATTAGTTCGGCGCTCTCTTGAGGCTAGGCGTCTACCGCTTGCTTGGAAGGTGGGCATAATCAAGTCCATATACAAAGGAGGGAATCGACAAGATCCTAGAAATTATCGGCCCATCTGTCTAACGTCCGTTGTCTGCAAGGATCGTCTGCAAGAGAATTCTCAAGCGAGCTCTCAATCTACATTTTCAGTACCTCAAGTTCAAGTTCAAGCGGGACTGGAACGGTAGGATTCTCCTGTGAGTGTTCCTTCTTCGGCGGGTTGTTGAACCAGGAGTTGGCGATCTTTGAAATACTGATGGACCTAAAACAAAGGCCGCATCACACCCTGTCCAACCAATTAATGTCCACGTATCCTGCCCTAGCTGTCCCTGCTGGGTCGGTTACGCGAAGTAAGAAAAAAGTAAACTCAGAAGGCAAAAGAGAAAGTGGAAAGAGATAAGCAAGTGGAATACCAAGATATTTGAGTCATTAAAAAATGAACTGAAAAGTGAAGGTGTCAGCTAGGGAAAAGAAAAGGTTTGCTGTTGCCACCCAAGAGCATCGAGCTGGCGCCCAAAACACTTAACCGTAGGTTCCCTAACCACGTGATCTGGAAGCGAATTCCAGCTATCTATAACTCGGCGCGATAGACGAGTTTCCGTCCTAATCCTATCAGACCGTGGTTTATGCAGTTTTATTGGGTGACCGCGGAGATTAGGTAATGTAGCGGGACTAAATAGCCCTGACAAGTCCGGGCCAATCTTACCCGTCAAAATACGGTAAGTGAGAATCAGGTCCCCTCTTATCTTTCAGTAGTGCATTAAGTACATCCCCAAACTGAGCAAGCGTTCAGGATACGACTGTCCCCGTATACCCTGCACTCACCGAGTGCCCACTCGTAACACCCTCTCCAAGTCCAGTTTGTCTCGGTTAAGACATGGTGGACAAGCCTGAATACAATATTCCAAGTGGGGTCGAACGAATGCCGAAAATAGCTTCACAAACAAATTAGCCGTTAAGATTCCGAAAGAGCGGCGGATAAACCACATCATACGAAACTCTTAACAAGCAGCCATCTTCCAGTTGTCCCTAGAATGAAGTGCTGATGCGTGTACGACTCCTAAATCAACCTGCTGAGTGATAACAGGTTCACCACCGCCGACAACATATCGGGTGGGGGGATTTGCAGCTCCGATTCGAAGAACATAGCACTTGGCCCTATTTATGGGCATCAACCATAAGGTAGGTCATTCCCAAAGCCTATCCAAGGCACGCTGAATTGCCTCAGGACCCCCGGGATATCCACAATATTCCAGAGCTTAAGGTCGTCAGCAAACATTAGTGATGACACCCCTAGCTCTCCCGGCAAGTCATTTACATAGATCGCGAACAACAATGGCCCCAATACCGAGCCCTGCGGAACGCCATTAAGGACAGCTTGCCTGAGCGAAAGGCTACGCCCACTCGTACGCACTGTTCCCTCCCCTCAAGGAAGGTAGACACCCATTGAAGGGCGCGACCAGATATCCCGAAAGATCTCAACTTTAGTGAGAGCAGTGGAAGTGTCAAAAGCCTTCAAAAATCTACAAATAGCACATCTAAAGCGTGGCCACTGTCTACCGCTTCGGCCCAGCTTTCATGAGCTACAAGTAGATTAGTCTGACATGAAAATCCTTTGCGGAATCCATGTTGTGCAACACTGAAAAGGTTGAATCTATTCAGGTGGTTCTCCACTAAATCCCTTATCAGCTTTTCAAACAACTTGACTACTACGCTTGTCAAACCCGTAGTTCGCGGGTAGAGCGCTGTCACTGCCCTTGAAAATCGGACAGATGGTTGCCTCCTTCCATTCCGAAGGTAGGCTGCAGCTGTCCAGCGATATTGAAAACACGCATGTGAGCGGCCCACTCAGCTCACGCATTGCAAAGGCCAGAGCTGCCTTCTTGAACCTGCGTCATCTTTGGCGACAGAAGGGAGTTTCCCTCCGTCTGAAAGGCCGTGTATACAAGGCCACAGTGAGGGCCGTTCTGCTTTATAGTAGTGAGACTTGGCCCCTTCGGTCTGAAGATCTGAGGCGCCTTCAAGTCTTTGATCATCGTTGTTTGCGAAGCATTGCTGGTGTCGGATGGCACCAGCGTGTCCGCAACGATGATGTGCGTAGGCGAGTACTAGGTGGTGATGATCATGCTAGCTCGCTAGAACAACAGATAGCACTGAATAAGTTACGT